CCCTGAGAGTCACAGCTGGGAGAGCTGACCTGCAAATGCACATTTTCAGGGTTATATTTTCTGGAAAAATCTGGTTTTGCTCAGGGTTTGTGTCCTGGGAAGGTGAGAACATTGAGGTTTGGGGGTTTGGGCCACCGGGCTCTGCGGCTCCGAGCCCAGCGTGGCATCTCCATGTAACCCCCGAGTCGCAGCTGGGAGAGCTGACCTGCAAATTGATATTTGTCATTGTTATCTTTTCTAGAAAAATCCGTTTTGGCCAAGGTTTGTCTGCTGGGAAGGTGAGAAGGTTCGGAGAAAAAGGGAATTGTTGAGTTTGCAGGGTCCCCAGGAGTGTCACTGTGATATTTTCTGAAAAATCCCTTCGCCAGGATTGCTTCTCCTGGGAAGATGAGAAGCCCCAAAGAAAATGAAACCAATATTATCTGATTTGCTTCTCCTGGGTTTTGCTTCTTTAGAATAGTTTATCCAACAGGTGATTGTTTTATTGTTTATTTATTTATCTCTGCTGTGAATTGTTCTGACTTAATGACCAATTATGGTCAAGTTGTGTCAGGACTCTGGAAGGAACCACGAGTTTTTCGTTATTATCTTTTAACTTTCTGTCTGTATCCTTTCTCTATTCTTTTATATAATTTAATATCACAAAATAATAAATCAGCCTTCTAAGGACACGGAGTCAGAGTCATCAATTCCTCCTTGGTCCTGGGGACCCAGAAACCACCACAATTTTTGGCAATTTTGTGCCTTCTAATGAAAACCTGCCAAACTCACAGCAACGAGACTGCTTTAGTGATAAGAAATAATAAACAAAATTGAATTTGAATGTGAATTATTGTCTCAAGTGCCTTCAATCCAGACCCAGAGAAACCCACAAAAGTGTGAAACAGATTACAGAGCACTTTAAAATTAGGGTTTAAAATTAGAAATTCAGGGTTTGGGATTTTCAGTGGATGGGAGCAAGATGGAGAGCACAGCTCCTGGGTTTCTTCTTCTTCTTCTTCTTCAGGGCTTTGGGATTTTGTGACTGGGTGGAAAAATCTGCATTGAGGCTCTTTGGGATCTTTGCTGGGTTAAATAATCCAGGTGTCAGTTAAATAGGTGTCAGTTCTTAATTGGATAATTCAGTCTTTTAAGAGACCAAAGGAAAGAAACGTCAGCAATAACTCCGAGGGCTGTGGTCTGCAGGTTGTTCACCAACAGGTGCACCTTTGATTGGTTCCATGGGAATTTATTTTAATAATAACATTTTAATTATTAATTTAATTATTTTAATAACGACCAATCACGGTCCAGCTGTGTTGGACTCTCAGTCTGCCACCAGTTTTTATTATTCACTCCTTTCCTTTGCAGCCTTCTGGTGAAATCCTCTCCTCTATTCTTTTTAGTAGAGCACTTTTTAATGCAATATAATATCACACAACAATAAATCAAACTTCTAAACCAGGTTCACCAATTCCTTCCCACCAAACAAAACAAGAATTATTTTTCCTCCCTCCGATCTTCAGGAAACCTCAAACCCAGAAACATTTTTGGGGAGACCCCCCCTCTCTCTCCTCCTCACACAAACCCCCCCAAGCACCGACCTTGAGGAAAAACTCCGTTCCCTTCTCCATGATCTCCTGGATCTGCAGGAATCCCGCCGTGTACATGAGCAGGAACTGATCTCCCACGTTCATGCTGAGCCGGCCGGTGTAGCAGAAGCTGAGGATCTGCTGGAAGCTCTGGGGCTGCACGGCGGCCGGCAGCTCCACCACGGCGCTCTTGGAGCTGTGGAAGAGGTCTCGGAAGTAGGAGCTGCTGGCGGCCAGCACGGCGCGGTGCGCTTTGAACGCGTGGCCCTTCACCACCACCGAGACGTCGCAGAAGAGCCCCTGCAGCCGCTGCTCGTTCAGGCACTCCAGGATGCTGTTCCCGAAGGACACGTGGGGACAGGGAATGGGGGGGGACACAAGGAATGGGGGGGACACGAAGGGACAGAGGGGACAGGGCAGGGACACGGGGGTCACCCCAAATCCCCCCCTCCAGACCCCCCCCACAGGCTCGGGGGTCCCTGCCAAGGCCGGGGGGCTCTGAGGGGACCCTGGGACATTGGGGGAGGGGGCAGGGCAGGGACCCCCCCGGGGCCGCAGGGTTTGGGGGAGCCCCCCCAATTTGGGTGACAAGACCCCCGAGCCTGACCTGGGGGGCACACGGGGACACCTCAGACGGGAAATGGGGGGCGGGGGTCCCTCAGCTCGCCCGGCTTACCGGGGGCCGGGGGCGCTGCGCTGGGGCCGCGGCCGCTCCCGGAGCCGCTCCCGGTGCCGCCGCGCTCAGCGGCCATTCATTGTGCGGCAGGCGCGACCGGCCGAGCGCCGAGCGCGCCGCCCGCGCCTGCGCGACCAGCCGAGCGCCGAATCATCCACCCCGCCCTCACGCTGCCCGCGCGGAGTTTAAAGAGCGGCAGAGGCGGAAAACCGGCGGGGAACGCGCGGTAAAGACGTGGGGAGCGCGGAGGGAAGGCGTGGGGTGCTGAATCACCGCGCCCCGCTGGCGGGGTCGGGCGGGATCCGTTCCTCCCCGCGCTGCCGGCTGGCGATGCCGCGGGATGGCGTTTTAGAGCGGCTGGCGGAGGTTTTCTGACCCTGCGCGGCCGCCGGCGTCACGTGAGCGGCGCAAGATGGCGGCGCCCATGTGAGGGGCGGCGCGGGGGAATGCGCGGGGCGGCGCGCGCGGGTGAGCGGGGGGGACACGGAGGGGACAAAGAGGGGACGGGGGGGGACAGGGACAGCCCCGGAGGGCACGGGGGGGACACACCGGGACGGCACCCGCGGGCGGCGGGGTTTAACCCCCCCCGGCCTTGCCACGTGCTGGGGGGGGCTCGGTGCGACCCCCGGTCCCGGTTTTTTTTTGGGAGGGGGGGTTCCGTGTCCTCCCCTCCTCCCTTTCCCCTCCTCTTCCTCCCCTTTTCCGGGGGGTCTCGTCCTCTTTTCCCGCCCTCTGAGGCCGACCCCAAATTCCGCCGTTTTTGCCCCAAAACCGCTCCGGTGCTGCCGTGACCCCCCCCCCGGTGACCCCTCCCCCCCTCTCCGCCACAGCCGCCGCACTCAGGACCGGA